GAATAAGACTGGTTTAACTGGTTTCAGAACATATTTTAGTGGAACCCATAGGGCATAACCACTGAAACAGTGGTTTAAGTATCTTAAATTAGTGTGGATTTACCAAAAATAATAAACATATTCAATTAAAACTCAAGTTTTGCTGTGGAAAATCATAAATAAAGGGCATATTATAAATGTAAGTTACTATTAAAGAAACTGCATTTTTAGATGTTTACTGCAGCATCATTAAAATTAAATTTTGTAAGTGTGCAGGAAAGTATTTTAAAAATCTGCAATGTCTATGGATATAAATGTGACTATTGTTTTCAAATATCCAAAGAACATCAAAATACTTTGACACAAAATGCTTCTGACAACTTTATGGTGCTGTTTAATGAATGATTGTTGACCTGCTGTATGGTGATCAAAGAGGCAGCAAGTGCTTATGGGTTCACCTTCTTTTTACTGGAAAATGACACGTGTGTGCTGCATACTCGTGATTTTCTCAGTAGTGTAACGAGTTTGCCCAACCGGCAGTTTGAACAACAGAGTGAACTGGACGAGACAAGGCTAATATTTTACCAGCATGTGTCCCTTATCCGGTTGTGTCCTGTTAAAGCAGGATGCGTTGCTGATGTGAAGTTGAACTATCTCTCCCAAAATCCCTCCCTACTCCCATTGAGAGGGCTGAGAGCAAACCTCGACACCCGGTCAGTAATAAGCCCTGAGAGAGGTCTGAGAAGCTTTCTGTGATCTAAAGCGACTTCTCTGTGGGTCCGGTCAGGTCAACGGAAACAGAAAAGTTTTAAATATATCATGTTGTCTTTGCACTAAACCTCTAGAGAAGCAGCAGGTTTACAAGTCCAAAAACATACTATCGTTATCCTGTAAAACCATAACACACTTAAAACTTAGTAGTTCTTCCAATAACTTGTCATAGGATATTAATGTTTTGATATTAAGTTTGCATGAGCATTGGTAATTTTCCTGTAGTATGCTAGCACTATGAACTACGGTTGTTAAGCTATGAATGTGTCGTTACGCAGTTGAGTGCAGGTTTGCTTATCAAACAGACAAACACTGACATTAAACACTAAAATACAATAAAATATAGTGGGGGATTGTTTATACTGTTTCTATATAAATGAAATGAATTCAATGATGTTGCGAATGTCTCTAGAATTTTGCCAAATTGTTGCACAAATACAGAAATACTTTAATAAAGATTTGTATGAAGTGATAATTTAACACTGTCTGATGCTTGTAGGTAACTCTGTTTATATGTAATAACAAATGGGGATGATCTGGTAATCTGAAAGTAGCTTGGGACGAAAATAGATTAGAAATATACTTTCTTGTCCCACAGTGAGAAAATTCAGCAAAACACAAAGGAAAAATTATAACCTTTAGTTTCCTGTAGTTGAGTCAATCTTTTTACGTTGACCTACATTTGTCATGGACTTACTCATCAATAAAACAAGAGGAAGAGTTTTTGCAAAAAAGGTTTCAAACCGACACTTCCAGAATCATCTTGGGAATGTAGTAATCTTCATAGGCTGCAAGGTACAGCTGTGAACTTGGGCCTGTTGTTGCCTTTACTTTAAAATATGTAGCGTTACTAAGAATCTACTTGTTTTTTCTGCGATAAAACCTAAACACACTGACGTGAGCAGCGGCATCTGCAGGAACATGTCATCAAAGGCATTGTGATTTTGCAAGGCAAATGTCTGAGATGCCAAAGTTGTAGCAACTTTAAGAAACCATCACTTCACTTCATCAACCAGAGGCAACAGCATTTTTTGCGTAAGACTAATCTGCAATTGTCATGTTATGATGAAGAAATGAGCAAATACTCCAAATTTGACTACATGGTGACATAATTCAACAGATAGGCAGTACTTTGTGCCATTTAGGAGACAATTAAAAAAAATAACTGGAGAGTTTAAATTCTGCAAATATTGCTGGAGAAAATCCTAAAATAAAAAGCAAAACCCTAAGTTTGTTGGAAAGCCAATTCCTGTCTCAGTTTGTAGAAATGGAATCTAAGCCCAAACAGCAATTTATTTTGATATATGTGGAGGTGCATGTGCGAAGCAGACAGGAAGAGAAAAAATGAGACAAACTGCGCCATGCTTGTTTATGTGTGCATGCGTGAGAGAAAACTAAAGAGACAGCGAGAAGAGGAAGCAGTCACGTTAGGAGGAAGAAGAGAAGAGGAGGGAGGCGATACAGCCCATCCCTCCTCTACGTCACGGTGACGCCTCCGTCCGCCCCTCCCTCCACTACAACTCACATGACTGCAGCAGGGCAGTTCTGTAACACCAGTCACGAGGATAGAGTACTACAATAACCAGCCGGCAGGGGCGAGTGTGTCTTTTACAAGCACAACCCAAATACACACACACACACACACCGCAACGGGGAGTAAAAGAAAGCCGCAAGTCCACCTTAATAACCAGTAGTAAATATTAACATATTAGTGTGCTGTTTGCACTATAAATAACCTTATCAGACTGCACATAAAGAAAGGACTGCGATACAGTGCAGAGTTTAATTCCGTTTCTGACTCAAGTTCATCTTCCCTCTTCCGTGCCAGTCAAGGACTTAGCAGCAATCCAGCATTAAAAGCCTCAGAGCAAAGCGCTGTGTCGACGTAACAGCATGCCTATTTCCATCTGAGCATTTTTCTCCCTCACAGTTGTCCCATTTACATTCCACATCCACATCATTATTGGATCTGCACAGCATGGATATACTTTTGTTTTATAGTCACATTTTCCAAATCGAAATGTGTATTAGGTGTCTTGTGCATTATTTTTCCCCCTTGTGCTCAGCATGATATGCATTTCCAAACACCCTTCTGCTGGTTGACTGATGTTTGGTTGTGTGGGTTTGTAAGGCAGATGTGATTTTTTTATAGAAATGATTTGGTATACCACTTTTTTACTCTTTCAGAAAATTTTATAACCTGTGTCTCAGGTTACACCAACGGTAACCTGAGACACAATGGTGTTTTGTAATTTGGCCATTAAGGCTCATTGCCTGGGGAGTCACTTCAATTTGGGGATGAACAAGGACAAAGACAACAAAACTTGCATTATATACACCTTGAATATGTCTTCTCTTCCAATTTTACATAAACAGTCAGTGGGCAAATAATTATATTCACAATATTGTTTATTAATTTACAATGCTAATTGGTGTTTGTACCTGTTATAAGGATTATTGGAAACCAGTTTGAATGCATAAAACATGAAATATGATAGGCTACGAAATATTGCAATGCTTTGGAATAGAGATATTGCATATGCTGATAATGCATGATGACTGTGATTCAATTTATTGTTGCAAAACCAATTTAAAGAGCTAAAGAAGTGATAAATTCCAGTGAGAATCCAGTGAGAGTTATAGTATAGCTATATACTATATTAAAGCTATACTATAATATAGTATAGATGAGTTATGTGTAACATAATGTTCTGCAAATATAACAGACATTGTATTTCCCTTTAATATGCATAACATTGAGATGGCTCACATCCACAGTATGTGTTATGTGTGGGCACATGTCACTGCTGCCGCTTATAAATAGCCCACAGTCTCCCTACATCCCTCCACGCACTGATTTCAACATGCTAGGGCTGCCAATCAGCTGTGACAGACCTCCCTTCTTCCCCCACTTCACCAAAGCATCACCGATACCTCCAACCCCCGCACACAGCGCATCAGATGCCGCGATGACCCTGCACCATCCAGCGCAAAAACAATCACCGCAATGCAATTATGTCACGCTGTGCTGCGGATCCTGGATTGACACTGACAGACCCCTGACGGGGTCTTTTCCTGCACACTTCCTGCGAGGAGATTAATCTGCGTGTGTTTAAATTAAGAATCAGCAAATCTTCGCTGATTTCCTGACATAATTGGTCCCTTTAAAGCAAAGCCTCCCGCGACCCTCCTCATCCATACACACAATCGGTTATCAGACTGTCACGATATCCACACTTTCAGGTAAACAGTCCAAGAATCGAGCAGATTTCAGTCAGTTTCTCACCAAGACGCGTTTTGTAACCGTTTCGATTACGCAAACCATTACGAAAACGTAAAACCGCATCAACTTTCCCAGCTGACTTAGAGCTCGGCTCTTCTCCGTCCATGCTTTGGAGATATAAACTAATAATACGAACAATAAAAATGAGATCTCCATGAACGCATCGTGGGAAAAGTGTTGCTCAACTTTGGAGCGCTTCGGCCAGTGGATCTCCAGCATTGATCCGCTAGAGATCCAAAGATCCTCCAGCGCTCTAAACCCCCTGTGTCGAGGCAATCAGCTTAATAATGAAGTGTATAAATAACATTACACAGCATTAATGTGTTGCAATGCCACAACAAGGGACCTCTTCAAAACATTTAATGAGTGTTTAAAAGAAAACAAGGAACGCAAACACGTGGATTAAGCACACACACGACCACGTTTCTTTACACACATTAAAAAAAAATAAACAGTCTAGAACCCAATTAATATGTCAATATATCACAATAATCCACCGGTCCACGCATGAAGAGGTCCACGCATGAAGAGGACCGCCACTGAAATTAAAACTTCCCTCAAGAACGCGTCTAAAGTTTCCAAAGCGCCCCTCTGCATACCAAATAATCCCGGCCGAGCAGCAGCACGCCGGCTGCTTTCCGCCTCCAAGTCTAACACCAAAACATTTATCCGTTTTAATCCATTAAATTCCTCTATTGCCGATAGCTGATAGCATTTTCTCCAAGACACGTGGAAATCAGTCATTGTAGTCCACACACACACACACACACACGCACACTCACGCTCACACATGCACATGCAGACAGAGAAAGCCGGCTTGCTCTGTGCCGGGGAGATGCAGCTGAGCAGCCCAGAGAGAGGCTCCCATCAGCCGGGCACAGCATGTGCCAGAGCTGGTGACGTGCAGAGACGCGCCCCGCTCTGCAAAGCCTGGCGTCCCGTGTATCCTCCAAGGCTGGGATCTTACCTGGCTGCCGGAGTTTTCTGTCAGGTAACTGAAGACAAAGGACGAGAGTTCCTCATCTAATAGTGGAGCGCAGTCCGCCATCTTCTAGTGAATGAGGAGTTGCGGAGTCAGAGTGGAGTATAGGAGGAGGAAGAGAGAGCCACCTGTAGGGGGCGCATCTATTTACTCGTGGAGACAAACACACATTAAAAGACATGCGGCTCTTGAAAAGCGGTCTCCGGGGAGCACCAGGGGGTCGATGCTTGGATTCCCGCGGCTAAATCAGGACTGCTTCACCGGAATGTCACTGCCCTACAAGCTTAATAAAGATCTGTTTATAGAAATAGATAGACATATTCTCAGAAGAAAGCACATTTTCTGCAGCATAATCAACAGTTTGAATCAGTTCTAATATGCTGATATAATTTTGATGTAGCTGAGAAAGACTCAGAGAAATTAAAAATACGCAATGCAATTTTTTCTATTTTTTTTTTTTGAACTAGTCGATGAATTATAGATCAAACATGCAAATACATCTCATCCAGTTTTGGGGCTTTGCTTTTAAAGTTTATTGTTGTTATTGTAGGATGACCTGTTCTGTTTTTTCCTTGTATATTTATAGAGCTTCAGCAATGTCCAGCATCACCACATTATGACCGGCTGCTTAATAGTGGGTTGGTTTCTCTTTTGCTGCTAAAATAGCCCTGATTTGGCAGCTGTGGCTACTATTGAGTAGCCATTAGCATGTGGATATGTTTGTGAATCGGGTCTTCTGGATTGAAAAAAATTAATTTAGCATTAACTTCTTGAGCAATTTCAGTGCTCCCAATGTGCATTATGACCAAGACATCTGTTCTTTATGCTATTTTGACATGTTTTCCATTGCAAGAACGCCCTACAAAAGGCTGCAGTTTTGTAGATGTTCTGACCAAGTCGTTCAGGCCACTTATCAATTTTTAATCCTTATAACAAATTAACATTTAGGACAAAGTATTGCAGTATCATAAAGAAAATAAAATTAGTGTCATTCACTTCAACTCTTAGTGGTTATAATTTTATGCCTGGTTGAATGCATGACAAACACATAGCATTAAAACTAAGAATAAAAATTTACGGCAAACTAATATGCATTTGTTAAGCACATTGTTTTGTAACCACAGAAAAGAAAAACACAAACTGTGGGGCTGATCAGTGGGGACATGCATTGTACAGTTAAAAACTCTTGAAACATTCTGCTTTTGTCTCAGATCTACAGCTATAAGTGACAAAATCCTCTTGCTGTTGCTGGGAAACAGCAACATCGACGCCTGTCAGTTGTCGATTCCAACACAGCTGATGTTCTGCGAAACCATTCTAACCGGGTACTGTTTTCTTTCACACACAGGGTTTTGTATATATTTATATATTTGTGATGATTCATATAGTAACAGCCCCTTTTTCCACATTTTACTGTGTCCCTTCCTGCATGAGTGCATTGACTTATGGTTTCCTGATAACAATAGATTTTTTCTCATCACAAACCTCTGCAATCTTCTCAGATATTAATTCTGACATTAAATTACACTTACATGCAGACTATTTATTAATCAGGTGGCTTCTGAAAGCAGTTGGTAGCACTGGCTTTTATTTCATACTACACTTTTCAGATTTCTGTTTGTGAAAAAAATTGAAAAACAATTGAAGCAATCCTTCTGCTTCACAATTATGTCCTGATTTGTGTTGACCTATCAGATAAAATCCACATGAAAACACTGGATGTACATTGTTGATGGTGGATGTAGCATAACAAAAGGTGAATGAGTTCAAGGGGTATGAATACTTTTGCAAGGAACTATGCTAAAATGTTTGAAATGCAATTTAATACTTTGTTCTGCAATGGCGTTATACTTTTATGAGCCATTTGTTTATAATCTGATAACAACGATGTTATTCAACTTTGTTTTTTGAAAGTCAGCATGACTTTGCTTTATTGGCCTGAATTAACCGGCTTTACCTAGCTTTCAACCTGACACCTAGCCTGAAGCAAAATAGCACGCTCGAGTAAATCTCGTCTTTACAGCACACAGTCAGTGGTAATTGGATGACTTAATTCTTTACAGTTTCCCCTGGCAGTTTGTTGACAAGCTTCTGCACACAGAAACGCTTCTGAACAATTTAGTTTAGACACAATGCTCTCCTTTGCAATTAGAGGCAAACTTACATCTTAATCTTTTATGGTTGCATCATCAGTGGATGAACACAATATTTTTTAAGTTCATTCAAGCACATATCTTAACTTAATCCAAAGCTGTTTCATTTGAACATGGACTGTCAGTTCCAGGTAACGTTGAATCTGCTTTGTCAGTACATTTCCAGAGTTTCTGAACTCATAACAGCCTTTCTATTTTCCATATAAATGCGTCTGACAATGCACATTCATAACCCGAGCGGGTGAAAATATGTTAATTATACCACAAAAACATAGTTTTCTTCATTCAGATGCAGAAACTAGAAACATATCTGTTTCCTTATTAGTACTAGTAAAAGCAATTATCGAAAGTAGGCCAATTGTACATTCCCACTACACACTCGTTACCGTTACATTTTTACAACGCGTTTCTGAAATTGCGTCAGATCCAGGTGGAGAGCAAAACAGAATGGAAAATACGCCTCATAATTTATTTGCTGGCACCAGTAGCTATGCATTATTGCAGTAATTAGCTTTATTTGAAGGCAAGTTTGTGTTTTGTTGTTGGTCAGGGGAAAAAAAAAAGCAGTTTTCCTTAAAATGTTCCAGGAAAAAATTATTGCATTGGACAGATTCACAATTATCCAAACCATCATGAAGCAGATAACTCCCTTTGTAGAAAGGTGTTGCAAAATTTGATTTTAAAAAGAAAATGGTGCAATTGCTTTGGGCCTGAAAAAAAATGAGGATCAGATCAAGTGAAGGTAACAGGCATTGCTTTCTGTAAAATCAAACATATTTTAGATATCAGGTGTCATCTGTAGGACATCATGTCTTGGTTGTATTTTTTATTTTGCTATTTTATTGTCTAATTCCTTTAAAACAACATTTATTAAAATAGACAAAAAAAGATTAAGACAAATGTCTTATTTACAAATGTGGCCTGGCAGAAAAAAAAGTTTTTTCTGACTGGGGATAAGAGGGACTATAAAGCAAGAGAAAATTTAAAATGACACAAATTACACAATAAGAAACGACAAAACAAAATACAATATTCACATAAACATGACATAAAAAAGCGATTAAATAGTGGAGCAGACAAAGAGTCTAAGAATGGATAAAAACAGCTTGGTGAAGAGGACAATGGTTGACGAGAATGGTCAGATTTCATTATTAAAGATCGTCAGTAATTAATCTGAGTCAAATTGTGAGAATAAGTCCATGAAGGGTAATGAGTTTTATCAACATGTATGCTGGATCAACTACTGCTTTAGAAAATGATTACCTGGCAGACAGATTTACTGAGCCCAGTACCACCAGTTTGCACCTCCACACATAGATCTGAGAGAGAAAGAGAAAAGCACAATTTGACAAGTACTCATTTTGCAAGCTGTGAATATATGCTAAAGTACAAGTTGATAGACGGTTTCAAATAGAGTTTATTGTGGGGCAACAGACTGTTACTTGCAAGAGACAGATGGGTTTCATATATACAATATATATTATGGCAACTTGTCAGAACCTATTCCAAACAACATATTAACTATCAGTGTCAGTTTTGAAAACAAAGGAAAAACATTTAAGCATAATATTTGTCAAGTTGCTTCACACAACATTAATCAAATCAGAACCCAATACTTTATAAGTTGAGTCAAGTGGCAGATTAAAAATACTTATCAAATTTAATTTAGCTGCAACACAGTAGTAAAAATGACTCTTTATGTCTTTGATTTTGAGGTTTTCTCCTTAGCAGAAACCAACTGAGAGGTTTTAGTAGCTAAAGGTTAATTTGGCAGGTACAGTATTTAGGTCATAACACCAAAGCATGAGTCACTGCAAGTGAATGGCTGGAAGGACAACTGACATGAAAGAGGCACAGGGATCATGTTTTACAACCATGGGTGCAGAAAATACTCCCTTCTCCTTATGCACGGGGAATTACAAATGTGTTTTGTTTTTTTTTCTTACCCAAAGCCAGTGATATACAAGTATCTTGTGGGTGTGATGTAGTAATGATGCCTCATTAACATCCTCATCATGAAGGAGAAACTCATTAACTTGCAGTTAAGGTCATCTCAACACCAGTTCATCCCAAGAAATTAGAAAATCATTCAGAAGATAATTATTTTCAGTAAATGTTATTTTAATATGTTTATTTTAGAATAAAAATTGTTTTATACATGGTGATATAGTAAAAACAAAACAAAAAAAACTGCTTAATACTGTTGATTATAACTCACACATGATGAAAACTCAAAATTCAGTTTCTGAAAAAGTAGAATGCTGCAGAAGACCAAGAGAAATTTGATACTAATGCAGAAATATTATGTATGTAATGTATTTTACAGTGCATGTAAATGGGGCCATGTTTTACCTAATTTCCTGTTGCTGAAGCACATCTGAAAAACACAAGCAGGTCCACCAAAGTTAAAGTTTTGTAATGGCCGGGTCAAAGTCTTACTGAAATGCTCTGCCATATTTTTCACCATGATGACATTTAAACATTTTAATGTAATTTATCATTTAAATGTTTCACAGTGCAAAACATTTAAATGTGACAAGAAGGAATGCACACATTTTTCTCTAGAATATCTTAAAAAGCAAACACTTTTTTGGTGTTTTTCCAAAAAGGGCGACATGAACTAAAATAATCTTTACTGATTTTGGTGCATATTAAAATGGAAACTTAAGAAATACGAGTTTTGTGCAGTACAGGTCTGTTCAGCTGTGTAAGCACAGAAATCCTTTTGGGTCTTTGGAGTAGAAGGGGTTGCATGGTTCATATATCGACAGTAAAGGTGACATAAACAGGAATTTTTGTTGATCTAAAGTTTTTTTTTCTCAATTCATAACTTACACAGAATGTATTTTCAGTGCTTTACTAAAATAATGAGTCCTTTAAACACACAAGTCGAATGGCACCACAGTTGGGCTTAACACCGGAAAGTTCTAACAAAGTGAAGG